GAGGAGGAGGAGGAGGAGGAGGAGGAGGGGCGCTCCTTCGATCTCTGGTGGGCTCCACCTGCACGGGCTATCGGCTAGACGCCAGAGTGACCCTTCGCCGGAGCGACCTCTGGGTGCGGGCACAGATGGGTCCCCAGGTGGCCGAGGACGGAGCAGGAGCAGCGGCCTGCGCGCCCAGGTCTGGTCCCCCCCCGCGGCCTCCCAAAAAGCCGCGCACCCAAGGTCACTCCTACCCAGGGTCACTCTTGCGTGTGGCCGACTCTAGGGGGGGGGGGGTCATGGCGGGGGCCATGACATTTCCCCAGATGTCATGGCGCCTCTTCTTATTTCATTGCGTCCCTGGCCCCCCCCCCTGGGCCGCGCACGTGCCGCCGGCCATGATTTGCACCCCCCCCCTCTTGGACACCCCCCTCTTGGCCGCCCCCGAGTCTCCCTGGAGCCTTGAGACTCAGGAGGGGAAAAAACACAGACGCAAAGAATCGTCGACTCCCAGGAAGCGACGGGAAAGTATGAACAAGGGGGGGAAGACAAAACTCCAGGAAATGTGGAAAATATAAGGAATTATAGGATTTGTGTGTATTTGTTTGCGTGTCCCAGAGCCCCTTGAGAGACGGGGGTCACTGTAGAAGGGGGTCAGCCAGAGCGCCAGATCTTGCAAGGTCCTGCAGGGCCAGGGATGCACTGACCCAGGTGTTGTTTGAGCGTGCGTCGGCGGCGCGCGAGGGGGGGAAGTCAAAAAGAGAAGGCCTTCTCAGAAAGCGGCGGGACTTCTCAGGAGCCCTCGCGCCTTCTGAGCAGCTGTTTGTGGTGTTTTCGGGGGGGGGCTCAGGAAACTTCTCAGAAGGCCAGAGGACTCTCAGAAGGCCAGATGACTCCTGAGCCTTCTGAGAAGGCCTTCTCCTTGTCACTTCAGAACCCTCGCTCGGCGCCGAGCGCGCGCCGGAGCTTGGGCAGGGGAGGGCCTCTTCTCCACCAGGCATGCCCACAGCCCCGCAGGAGCACAAGGACGCTCGCCCTCGGGCCGGGGCGTCATGCCGCTCGCCCCGCAGTGAGCGCGGGCGCGAGGGCGGCGCAGATCACCAAATGGGGGGGCGCGGCCGGCGGGGCCGCGCTTGCATGCGCCCGACGGGGGCGGAGGAGCGATGCAGAGGCAGAGGAGGAGGAGGAGGAGGAGGAGGAGGAGGAGGAGGAGGAGGAAATCGAGGAGGAAGGAGGAGGAACTAGGGAAGGAGGAGGAGGAGGAACTGGAGGGAAGAGGAGGAGGAGGGAGGCGGAGGAGGAGGAGCGGGAGGAGGGAGGAGGAGGAGGGAGGAGGAGGAGGAGAAGCCCCCAGAGGGGTGCTCGGTGTCGGGCAGTGCCACTGGGGGCCCCAGGGGAACGCACTTGTGCCCCTTACCCAGGGTGAGCAGGTCTCAGGACGAGGGCAGCCGGGCCCCTCCGGCAAGGACAGCGCAGCCGGAGGTCACTAAGCCATCCCAGTTGCTGTGACGTGCGGACCCTCCCGGGTCGAAGCCAGGGAGGTGCGCGCGACATCCCAGGGCCCCCGGGCCCAGGACGGCCGCTGCAACGAGGAGGAGGAGGAGGAGGAGGAGGAGGAGGAGGAACTCGAGGAGGAGGAGGAGGAACTCGAGGAGGAGGAGGAGGAACTCGAGGAAGAGGAGGAGGAGGGGGAGGAGGAGGAGGAGGAGGAGGAGGATGGATGAGGAGGAGCTTGGCGCCTTGGCCAACCCGATCACGACTCGTCGGCGCCTCCTGTCAGTCCTCTGCCGCCCGCGCCCTCGAGAGGCCATGGCCTCCGCGCTGCTGGAGCAGATCCACACGCGGCTGGGCGATCCCTCCTCACTGGGGGAGGGGCTGGGGGGGGGAGGAGGAGTCAGGTGGAGGAGGAGGACCATCGAGGATTGAGGATCAAGCGTTTAGGGTGTGTATGCCCAGCTCTTCTGGTGACCTCCTGGAGGGCCTACTGAGGGACCTCCCGCGGGACCTCTTCCGGGACTACCTGGTGGACCTCCTGAGGGACCCCCGGTGGAGATGTGTGGGTGGGGGCGGAGGAGAGGAGCGGGAGCGAGATGAGGAGGGGGGAGAGATGCAGTTGCGACCAGTGGTGAAGCCGGTCCTGCGAAGCTCATGGTGTCCTCGTGTTCTCCAGTTCCTGGCCCGGGTGCCGCGTGCCTTTGGCTCGTTCGTGGCATCTCGCTGCCCTGGGAGGGGTCTTCAGTCCTCTCGGGCGTCTTCCATCTTTGGTCGCCACTTGTAGAAGGAGGGGGCAGGATGAGCTCGAAGTATGAGCCAAGTCGCTTGGCCAATCGAATTCGCTTGCTTTCACCCAGGGGCTGAGACAGGGAGTGAAAGATTGAGAGATTTGACAGATTGTAAGGGTTTGGTTTCTGGTGGCGCGGGTTGCAGTATTGAAAGATTACAAGTTCATAGATCCGGTGCGACATATTGAAGCATTGAAACATCGACAGTCAATCTAGCGATCCCAGCGTGAAATATTTAAAGATCTGTCATTCCGGAAGATCTGTATTGAACCAGTGAAAGGTTTGAGACTCGAACTTTCTCAATCTAGAGGTTCCGGATTGAACGATTGATATCGGAGGTTGGGGGGTGAGAAGTGAAACGGAGACCCCTCACCGGGAAACCGTTTCGATTTCGTGTTCATGTCGTGCGCGCGGGCAAGGCGAAATTGCGTGGGCGGGCGAGCGGAATGGACCCGCCGTTGGTAGGGCGAAGCCAGGTCAAATGCTGCTCGCCCCCCCCGTTGGCCAGCGATGGCCCGGGGGTGTCCCGATGGTATCCCGATAACACAATCCTGCGGATAATAAAGCATCCCCCTTTCAACCCTGGTATCTGTTTATCCAAGGGAATAAATGTGATTCAGTTGCCACAACAGGCGGGGAGTCCGAACTTTACACAACCCCCTCCAAAGTTCCTGTCTCAGCTTTGATTTTCATCGCAAGCACGGCACCATGAATAATCTTCATTATCACCGATAAATCCTGGAAACAGTTTATGATGTTCCCTGGACCCCGAACGTTACACTATCCCAAGGTTATTCTCACCGGCATCGGGTTAGTGTCCCGACTGAGTCTCCATAGTGTCCGGGTCGTGTCCCGATGGTCTCCCGATGGTGTCCCGATGGTGTTCCCGAGGGTGTCCCGATGGTGTCCCGATGTTGTTCCGATGTTGTCCACATGGTGTCCACATGGTGTCCACAGGGTGTCTTTATGGTGTCCCGATGGTGTCTGGATGGTGTCTGGATGGTGTCCCGACGGTGTCCCGATGGTGTCCAGATGGTGTCCCGATGGCGTCCCGATTGTGCCTGATGGTGTCCCGATTGTGTCCCCATTGTGCCTCCATGGTGGCTCGATTTTATCCCGATGGTGTCCCGATGGCTGTCCCGTGAGATATATGGAGAGCGAAATCGATAAATAGCCAGACCGATCGATCGATAGTGAGATCGATCGATAGATAGTAGGATCGATTGTGAGATGTATAGTGAGACGGATTGATAGTCAGATTGGTAGATTGGTAGAGTGACCGATGGTGAAATCAAACGTAGGATCCGATCAACAGATACCGAGATCGATAGTGAGATAATGCGGTCGATCGTGAGACCGACAGGTCGATTGTATGACCGTTAGTGAGACCGATAAGGAGATCTATAGCGGAACCGATAGTAAGTTCGATGGCGAGACTTACAGTGAGGCCGATAGTGAGATCGATTCTCAAGTAGTGGATTGCTGGACCGCGATGGTGTTCCGATGGTGCCCGGATGGTGGCATGTATCTGTCTCCAGGGTGCCCAGATGGTGTCCCATCGCAGTTGTCATCAGTTGGCCCCCCGCACAGCGTCCTTATCACACGAAGGATGGTCGCACAGGTTTTGAAGCACGTAGATGTTGATGAGATTCTGGTCTCTGGAGCCGACCCCTCGGGCCTCCAAGACGGCCCATGAGGCGTCCAAGAGCGCCCCAGCACGCTCTCCGTCTCTCAGAGCACGATGGCGGATTGATATATATATATATATATATATATATATATATTGAAAGACTTAAGCGAACGAAAGATGCTTGAATTTCTGAATTGTCAATCGGGCCCTTCCGCATCGAACTAATCATCAAAGTTTCAATGTGAATTTGTTGGATTGAAGGTCTTCTGTCTGCTTATATGGGTCCTCTGTTGTATTGAAGTATTATGACAGTTTCATCTTTTCAATTGTTTCATTTCCAGACCGAGCGAGTCTCTCCCTGCGATGAGTAACCC